CCTAGGGAAAGAGAACCTCAGATTCTAACTTAAATTTGATTAAATAAAAAATACTTTCAGACCAGGATACAGCATCTAATAGTCTCATATCAGGGGATAATAAATAGGAATGATAAGAAAACAGTTGAAATCTCAAATGACTGAATTTTAGTCGTATTCTAAGCAGGAAAGGTTTATATGGGACATATACAGTGTCACCCTTTAGAAAATAGCCTCCAAACCAACATAAATGGAAGGCTCACTAAATTCAGAGATGCACAGATAGCATTTATGAATTCACCTTTGCTTTATGACAAAATGCAAATCTAGTAAGTAGAAATCCTGAAACAGATCTAGAGGGACAGACCCAGTCAAAAGCAGTCTTCTGCATATCCACATAATTGAATTAAGTATTAAGTTGTTCTAAAGCTATTTTTTTTTTTATTTACAATGAAAAACAAAGCCTTAGAGTCAACTTAATAAGTAAATGCATAATGTATCATGCAATTACTTTTAAGGACTGCCAGGTAATCTTACAAGTGATTTCCTCCAACAGCCTGATTTAGAAGTTATATGCGCATCTTTGCCTTTTGCAAGGTTCATTTTCATTACCATAAATATATCAGGAACAGACAAACCTCAACCTGAAGCCAGATGACAGCTGCTTCTAAAAGTCTAATCTACTTATTTACAAAAGAACAGAAATGGAATAAATGAATGATTGCTATTGATTCCCACCATAAGTCTACACAGACCCAGTAACTTCTCTGGATTAGTATAGACAGAAGCCAATTAGTTTTATTTCATATGTAAATGCAGCATAAAGAGGTTCAAAAAATAATTCATCGGACTGCTTTATCCTAAAGCATAAGGCACATATTTTGAAAGTTACTTCAAACACAGTTCTTGCTTATAGAGCTCTCTTTTTCTCTTAGGCAAGAATTTTTAAAATAAATTCAAACTCATCCAGCTGTGTATATTCAAAAAATACCAAAAAGTCACCAAGCATAGTAAGTTTCAGATGTTCTCCTCTCTCTAGCGTTATCAGTAACACATAATGAGTTAGTTCATATATCATCACAGCTGTGCAGGCCATCTTTTAACTTAGCTAATTTAACTACTCTAAGACCTTGCTCTAGTTTAGATAATCTACTCTGTAAATCATATAGAAAATAACGCCACACTATTTTATCTTTAATATCCATCTTTCCTTGTCTTCTTCCACAGAGTTCTTGTTACTTCATTTAATATACTGTCCCTTAGACAGATGAAATAACAAAAAAAAAAAACGGGCATCTGGAGCAACTAGCAACCAAAATCACTTAACAAAGACTATAACAGTCTAGAGTTAAGACTATCAATAAGCTTTGATCCCAAGAGAAAAGAATGTCCTTTGAGAAAAATTAATGATTAGTCGGGGTTTGTGACTTTTTTCTTCACCCACACACTCTTAAGGAAATTCAGAATTAGAAATAATTACTGGTCATATTTTCACCAATAGGTTATTAGCAAGTTAAGTTTTGCAGAATGCCAGTTCTTTATGGGTGATAACTACAGGCCATTCTAGGGCATTTTAAAAAGAAAGTAATATGACAACCAATGATGATTTTACACATCTCCACAACTTCAATTATCTACAATAGTATTTCACAAAGTTGGTGAGGCTCTTTTAAAACTGCCATTTAATTTCACTTTATACTAAGGATAAGTCCCTTAAATATCAGTGATTGTTTTCTTTAACTGAAAACACATTCAATGTTTTCTTAAGTATAGCACTGAAATTTAGAAATTCTCCAAAGCCCATCCTGAGTGCAAAAGAAGCCATGGCATCTCCACACAGGGTGTTCAAACAAACAACTACCTCCTAGTCGATGATGTATAAACATCTGCAGACGTAAAAAAGCAGAATGAGAAAGGAAAGTGGGATTATATCATAATTTATGGTGAAAGTAAAGTTGGGGAAATAATTAAAATAATTTCATTATAATGAACTAAACAACTATTACTGAAATTCTTTAAAAAAATTTTTTTAGTATATGAACATCTTGACTAAAGAATTGGAACGGATCTATGAACTTATTTAGCTCAACTTTTCCAACTTCATCCTTAAGAATAAAATGGACCCTATGTACATCTAATTTACATGTTTGTCTGTAATTTGTAAAACGAAATATTTTCTCAGCAGTATCAAACCATGAACTTTTGTCTCTGCTTGAGACACAAAACAATAAAACTTCCCCAAGTGCTACATAATTATTATGGGTATAGTATATAATAATGATTTACAAAAGTGAGATAAACTACTGAAAACAAGTGGAATAAATGTCATTCATTATATTCCTGAATCCAAAGATTGCTAGGTCTGACTGAAACATCTACAAAGCTGAACATACACTTCCTGGTTATGTGCAATCTGTACAGATAGACCAGCTTTACAGGCCTGACCACAGAGATTAATAGCTTTAGCCAAATAATGTGGTAACCATGTGAACCTGGTCTGCTCCAGCTTGTTTGTGAGTCTCTCTGCAAGGCTCAACATGCCGTTATCTGCATCTTGTTGCCAGGAAACACAACATCGCTTTGGAATACAAGGAAAACCAGGTTGCACTGACCACAGGTCAACTTCCCAAAAGCTAATTTTCAACAGTTAACCATCTACAATCTTGTAACATTTCTTCCTGCAGTCTATGGAGAACTTCATTTTAATTGTCAATACTTTTTGCTGTTTTTATCAGGGCAGGACCACTTATTACCTACCATTAACAATGCAGCAGCAATAGTAATTAACTCATTTTTTTAATCAAGTATTAATAAAATAGCTTATTTCATTCAAGCACCCAACTACTTTATAAATGATTAATGCGTATGGGTCCATATATATCTATTCTTCAGAAAAGCTATTGATCTAGAGTTCCTGGATTTTCTGGGCTCAAAATACTGTCTTTTTTGTAACAGAATGTAATGTGTTGAACAATAATTCCACTAGTTCCTTCCTAACCAAACCAAACAGATAGAAACTTAATGTACTAAGATGCTGATATACTCAGCGAACTGGAAATTTGCTTCACAAGAGTGAAGTGTGAGGCCAGAGTTCCACAGTTTTGCAATCTGGAGATGGAAGACTTAAGTTGTTCCAATAGCATATAAATTTAATTACCTTAAACGTACCAATTAGAATTGCTAACTCATGGGCAACAGAAATTCTGGACACTAACTTCATATTTAAAAAAAAAAAAAAACTTTAAGGGCCTCACTGGTGGCGTATTCTGCAGCACGGGAGTTTGATCCTCAAAGGAGCTAATCCACAAAGTGTAGCAGACCTCTCCAATCTTACTGGCTCCTTCCCTCAGCAGTGTCTTTCAGTAGATCTGCCTGTTCTGCTCCACACTTTTCTCCTTTCACACCCCCACCCACAGCCTACACCCCAGCTGTTGCATGCAAAGTAAATCAAAATCTTTTTTAAAAAAAAATTTAAGATAAAACAGAAATGTTTTATCCAAGGTTGTGCTGGCTTTTGAAAAGTAAGTTAAAAGTATTGGGCGTTATTATAGAATCTAAGATTTTTGCTAATCAAGCAAGATAATTGTAGCTGTGTTATTATAGTCAACAAAGCAATCTTACAAAACAACCTCCTTAAAATAATACTTTTATATTCAAGAAAGCCCAAGGAGTTTTCTACATAACAGTATCTTTAAATCTGTACCTTACATTGTTTCCTTGTTCCATTTAAAACACAAGGTACAAAGTTCTAATTTCATAATTAAGTTGATGAAAAGATACACAGATCTGCTTACTTACATAACAAAAACTGTAAAAGAAGGCCACTTAATACTAAACGGACAAGTGAAAAAAATACTAGATTCCTGTAGTATCAACAATGCTCTTGTATTAGACCACAGAAGGCTGACATCAAGTCTAACAGAACTAGACAACTTATAAATGATTTACTACTACCATTTGCGTGCTGATTATCCAGATATTAGTGTAACCCAATTTATCTGTGAACAAAGATAACAGGAAGGGTTTTCTCCTGCCCTTTTTTAGGGTACTCAGTATATTTTTCCTCCCTATGGGTCAAGCCTCTCTGCACTACATCAGGCCACCCATTACATGTAAACCTGTCAGGCTGCCCTCCTGTTCTCCAAGAAACAACTTGGAAATACTAATGCTTAAAATTTTAGAAAGATTAACACTAAAAACAGCCATTTTTGCACTAGCAGATTCTTAGGTAGCAACTACCATTTTCTTCATTTTAAAGTTTAGTTATAGAATCAAAATGTGAAACTATCAGTTCCATCAATGATTGCTTAAACATCCATACTAAAATAAATCATACATATCAGTATACAAAAATATAAGGGTAACTAATTTTTACCCTTAAAAACGATAATATACCAACTAATACAAATCTTTCCTTTACTCACTGTTTAAAGATTTGGGTTAAAATAATACAATTTACTTCCTCTGAGATAAACAGATTAATAAACTTAATGGCAAAAAGCTGTTAAGGAAACAAATTTAACATGTTTAGGCATGATTCAGATGTTTGGAAGGAACTTCAGAAAATTTAAACCATGCAAAACAGGAATACAAAAATAAACCAATACTACTGCTTTCCTTTAAAAAAAAAAAAGAGTAATGCAATATGCAAAATTTTAGATAAATTAAGTTTTTACTATCTTATAAGATTCACCACAGATTTTCTTTCAAAAACAAGCTATCCTGTGTGGTTAAAATAGTATTTAATTCACAGCGCTCAATGTATATGCAACTTCTCAGTTACACACATATTGCAGAGTGGCATTTTAATTGTTCAAATCATAAAACCTTCATTGTCTGTTTAGGTACATGGTCTGCATTCAACCACCATGAAAAATCAGGATAACATACAGTCAAAAGAATAACAATGAAAAAAAGAAGAAAACCTGTTGGGTTACTACTGAAAGAAGCCTCCCTACTAAGCTTTTAGACTCTTTCTCTTTAATATTAATAACAGCTTGAAAGTAAATACAAATACATACCCATACTTCATTCTCATTCTATCATTCTCTGGGTTACAGTAAAATCTTTCCAAGTGCTCCTGGGAATCATTGGATACACTCTGCCACTTTTGAGAAGTTGTTCTCTTGACTTGCCAATGATATGGCAAGATTGTGTGGTGCTTTAAACAATCCCTGCCATAAATACAAGTGCCTTGCAAAAAGTCCATGCAAATTTCAATTCCATTCTCTTGGTGCGTGTGGTACTGTAACTGATTCACCAATTCAAACACAAGGTCAAGGGAAGCTTCCTCACTTTTGTCCTGAAAGAGCTTGGTATTCAATGTATCACTGGTGTCCAAAATGTACTGCATTGTAAAACTATTGTCTTGGAAAACCCCTGGAACATAATCCATGACTTTGTCTATGCATTCAGGACTAGCAGGAACATCACTTGAAACTGTGTGCAAAAGGTCAGTCTGAAAATGTCCTGCTGTAGAATCTGCAACTGTCCCACTGATGGTTTCTGGTGGAAAGCTGTGATCCTGGATTGGAACCACTTGTTCTGGAGCATCAGTAGAAGGATGGTCTTCCGCTATTTGGCCCCTGACATTCGTACTCTCAGGAATCAGGACAGGCATATTGTCTTCTGTTGGTGAACACGATGGATTAATTTCCAGGGTTTTTTTCACCATAGGTTCATGTAAGCTGCTATCATCTGCACTCTGGTTTCTAGACCCAAAAACCCCATCAAGTGAGCCAGATTCTAGCAAAGTGTTCAATATTGGCCTCAAAGACCTCAGGGTTCCAGTTCCCAATCTCTTCTGGTCCTTTTTCTTAAAACAAGTCTTCAATGGAGTGATCTTCTCAGAAAGTCTCATTTGGCATGAAAAGTCTTCAGGAGGAGAGGGAGGCTGCACTACACAGTCTGGCTCAGGTTCAGTGGTTTCCATTTCCATAATGTGGATTAATTCCAATTGTTCTTCAGAGTCTAAAAATCCTACCAGGAGAAAGGAGAGAAAATGATCATTTACAAGCAAGCAACAACTGAAGCCCTTTCACTCATCAAAATGTTTTGTTTTAGTCTATGACTAAGTCCCAGAATCACTCCTCTTGTATATTTCATGTTTAAATTTTAAATTTGATTGAGAAACCAATGCTTCAATGCAACCATGACTTCAAAAAAAAAAAAAGGGGGGGTTATTTTCTAATAGGTCCCTCTCATTTATTTGTGGACCTGATATAAAATGATTTGTAATTCTGAGGGTGTACAAAATTTTACTGTGAGTCTGAGACAGGATGGAGGTTGAGGGTTAGAAGCGAGCTTAAACAATGATGGGAAACCACATCTTCACTACTCTCATGTGGCAACAAAATCTCATGTGGCAACAAAAACTCTCTATACAGAAAAGTTCATCAAGTAAAAGATAAACTTCAAAGTTAGTGAGTGAATGAATCTGGAGTGTGAAGCTGTACTCAGTAAACAGAGGATCTTATAAGAAATGTGACATGGGAGAAAGCCAAGAGTCTGTAGAAGCTTTTCTATACTGAGAAAATTCTAATACATTTCCCAAGGATGTTAAAGGTCTCCTTTTGCAATCCCCAAAACACTGCCACTACTGGAGATGGAATACTAGGATCTGTTTGGCAACAGATGGTACAGCAGCAACTGCTGTACACCATTTAAGAAACCAAGCAATCCTCATAATGCAGAAAGGGACTCCTAGATTTCAGAAATATTACATGTGCATTTTTTTAAAAAGGCAAATGAAGGCACATTATAGAAAAGTAATAAAAATAAACACCAAATTTCAAATTCCTAACTAGTTACTGAAACAGACTTAAAAAACCCCTTCCAGTAAAATGCAAAGCCAGCTTTGTAAACTGAAAGACCGCGTTTCCTCCACAATCTATAGATTCATTGACTAATTACTGCCAGGTGGAAAAGGGTTGGCAATGAGCAATTAATCCTCTTCTCTTGTCCAAAAGACTGAAAGAGAACTTTGAGGCCAAGATTCATGACTTCATCAAGTCTGTCTTCCAGGTGCCCAATACAGTGCAGTGCGCCTAGCACCAAGCACACGGTCGATGGCTCATAATATTTTTTGCTTGAATTATGTAAGAAAAAGCACCTTTTAGATGCCCCGTGTCATCAGGCTTCATGGGTCACCAGTAACAAAATAATAAAACCGAGTTCCCAGAAAAAGGAATACTGAAGTTATAATTACAGAGACCCACGAACCTACGTATGGAGAAAGTACAGAACGATCGGACTCAGAAAAACAAAAAACAGCAGATAACGTCAGGTGTCAGCGCACACGGCAGTACAAAAGGAAAAGGTGGGAAAAGGAGAGTTCGGCGCGAGCTGGCATTGTTAGGGAAAGCTTCGCGAAGAAAGAGGGACTTGACAGAAGACATAAATCACTGGAAAGCAGCCAAGCCAGGCGTTATTATTCATCATTCGGTGCTCTTGCCTCAAGGCACAATTGGCACGGCCTGTGGTATTCCCTCCCCGCCACCCGAGCCCGCCCGCGTCTCCCCCGCACGCACACGAACCACGCCGCTCCGCCCCGGCCGGCAAAACAGACTCCGAACTAATTTTGTTTCTACGTGCGTGTGGACACACTGCAACTTTTCCTGCGACTGCCCTCTGTCACACTCGGAAATAAAGCCGAGCAGAGGGAGCAGCGCTGGAGGGGAGCCAGGCGTGGGGAAGTCACCAGGACCTGGTTCCTCAATTAGTTTGCACAACAGAAAAATAAAGATTGGAAAAGCACTTCCTCCGCTGGCGACCCGCTGCCCCACCTCTCACCTCCCGGCGCCCCGGTGCTCGCCGTCCCCGCACCCCGGCCCACAGCTCAGTCCACCGCGCCCGGTCCCGGGCCGAGCGGCGCCTCCTGCCGGCGCCCCCAGACCGCCGCCCGACTCGGTCCCTCCGTGGGTTCCCGAACACCCCTCCCCGCCCCAAGGAGGGCGCCCCCAAACTCTCCGCCGGGCCCCTCGCGACGAGCGCCCCCCGTCCTGCTTCCCCGCGCCCCAAAAGCCCTCCCGGTGCCGTTCAGTTGATTCGTCCTGCACCCCCTCAGGTGGCTCCCCGAAAGCCACGGCTGGAGACTCGGAGCGCGCAGAACCCACCCGGGAGGCGCCGGGAACCGCGGTGGGCTCCGCGGCGAAGGGGAGGCAGACTTCTGAGAAGAGACCGCAAACTTCTGGCTGCAGCCGAGGCTACCTCAGCGCCGCCTCCCCGATCCGCCGCGCACCACCTCAGAGCGGGGTCTGCGCCCGCGGCGGGGGGGAGGGGGCAGGGGGCGAGGCGAAGCCGCCCTGCCCAGCGGGAACCGGAGCGGGCGACCCCGATCCGTCCTCGGTCCGAGTCTGAGGTACACCTGCCAGGCCCAGAGACCGACGTGGAGCCGATCCCATCCGACCCCGAGGGAGCCCAGCAAATCGGCACACCGCGCAGTCTACACAGCCACAGATCCGCGAGGCCGGCTCCTCCAACCCGCCGTCCCGGCTCGGTCCCTCGCGGCCCCAAAGACTACTCCGAGCCCCCGAACCCCCAGCCCCTACCTGAGGAGCAGCCTTAAGAGAACGGACGATCGAGCTTCGTCGCGCTCGCAGGCAGGACCGCGGAGGGTCTGCGCACTGCGAGTAAGGGAGTCTACGGGTCGTAGGCCGGCGCCGCGGCAAGCCGCGCACGGGCCATTCGGCCGCCGCCAGAGCAAGAGCAGCCGCCACCGTCGCCGCGCTCTGTTCTGGCTCGTCTGCCTGTCACCGCGAGCTCTGCTCTACCGCGGCTTCCGGTCGCCTTCCCTCAGCAGCCCGGCGAGGGGCGGAGCCTCACCGCGGGGGCGGAGCGAGTGAGGGGCCGGCACTCACTGGGTACCAGGAAAGAGGCCCCGCCCCGTGCTTTTGCGCCTGCGCGCTGGTGGGGAGGTGCGGGGCCGCGTGCACCCGCGAGGGGGCGTGTCTTTTCGCGGGCCGTTCGGGAAAGTGCGCGCGGCTGGGAGGAAGGGCGAGCGCTCACGGCTGGGAGGGAGGAGCGGAGGGGGCTAAGTGGGGAGCGTTCACTCAGGCCCGGCTCCACCTGCGTGAGCACAGATGGAGGATCACTTTGTTCCAAGGGAGGATGTGAAACGGAACGGTCTGTTTCGGTGTGGCTGACTTTGTTTCTTTGCCTCCTCACAAGAGGCTTCCCGCCCCTGCCGCCGCCAACCCCGAACGACGGACGGCTGCTATGCCGCTGCGGCCAGACGGGGTCGCCCGCCCCGCGCCCAAAGGGCACAGTCGGGCTGCGCTTTGGCGCTGGAAGGGTGGTGCTGGGGGGCAGAGGGGCTGCGCGCCGGGGGACCGGGTCCCCAGCGCGGGAGGGGTGAGGTGGGGGTAACGGGGGCTGCAGGCGAAGTGGGTCCTCTGCTCCCGGTAGACTAAAGCTTTCCTGCTGCAGAGGGGAGATGCGCGTAGACTGGCAGAAGGGAAACGTGGCCTTGGGGTTTGGACGGTGAACGCCAGTATACTTGTGTTTTAAAGTCCAGAAACACCATACTGACTTACCCAACAAATATTTGTCCTTAGCTGGTGCGTGCAGCCTCGTGCAGGACTTAAGTTACAATTCCCATCAGCTCAGACACCACACCTGTCTGCATGGAGCTTGTGGAGCACCACGTACTCAACATTTTTTTATTGCGATAACGTTGGTTTACATTGTTTGTATTTTGGGTTCCTCCCCCTCATCATTCCAGTGCTGTTACCTTAGTGCTCCCACCACCAAAGTACGCGTAGTCCCCCACCAGAGTTCATGGTGCTCCTGCACGTTCACACTGGCCCCTTCCTTTCCCCCTCCCCTCTACATATCTCAGTTCTATAAAGGGGTATCTTTTGAGTTTGACCTCTGACCCTTTGGTTTTTCTGTATACCATATATAAGTGATACTATCTGGTATTGTCTTTCTCCTGATTTATTTCTACTTAGTATAATCCCAACTAGCACTCTCCATGTTCCTGCCATTGGCAACAAAGAGTTTCTCTCTTTTTATATTGGTAGCTGAGTAATATTCCATCATGTATATACCCCATCTTCTGGATTGACTCATTTAGGCTACATATTTAGGCTATTTTTATAGTTTGACTATTGTAAATACTGCTGCAATGAACATAGGAGTGCAAGTTTCACTTTAAATAAGTGTAGTTGTGTTCTTCGAGTGGATAAAAACGGGTGAGTTAGATAGTTCTCAAAAGAAGACACATAGCCAGCCAACAGACATAAAAAAAAATGTTTATCATCTTTTTATCATCAGGAAAATGCAAATCAAAACCGAAATGAGACACCACCTTACTTCTGTGAGAATGGCTCATATCAAAAAGACCGAAAACAAATACTCGAGAGGGTGTGGAGAAAAAGGGACACTTTTATACTTTTGGTAGGAATGTAAACTGGTCCAGCCCTATGAAAGATATTATGGCGTTTTCTGAAAAGGTTTTAAATGGATCTGCCACTCCACCCAGCAACTTTTCCATTAACTCATCTTTAAAGTACCACATGTTGGGCCCCCCTGGTGGCACAGGGATTTAGTCTCAGCGCTATCAAGGTATCACTGTTATAATCCCTATATGAAATGGATGGCCTTATTGTGGGTCCTCTCCCATGCACTTCAAGTGACTTCTAATAATACCCAACTGCAGGCCCTCACAAAAAAAGGTTAATAAAGGGCTTATTTACAAAAGGAGAGATGAAGAAATGAATATTTCAGGGGCAAAGAGGAGATAAATTGGTAAATGGATCCTAGCAGTCCCGCTGACCTGAAATCCTAGTGGCCACACTGAGAGGTGGCAAAAAGCCAAGAGTCAAGCCAAGAGCCAACAGGTTAAGAGACCCCAAAGCCAAGAAAGCCAAGTGAGCGAGAGACCCCACAGTCCCACATGTCTGTTTTTACACCAAACCTGGTACCTAACTCCATCCTCAGATCCCAGCAATCCTCCTTCGATGATGGTGGGATTTGTGTGCTGTGTTTTGATGGTTTTGTTCTGGGGTGGGGGTGGAGTCCCTAAAACCGGTGTGGAATTCCTTCAGGGAACCCTTTCCCTCTAACATCACCAGCTACTGCTTCACAAGTTTGAGTTTGATCCCTGGTCAGAGAGCTAACCCACCGGGCACAGCAGACTCCTTCTGCCTCAGCCCGGCTGCTCCCCTCAGCAGTGTATTTCAATGGATCCGCCTGTTCTGCTCCCTGCTCTGTCTCTGGTGAATCATCTCACCCCGCGCACCTCTAACCTAAACCCCAGTTTTGTATACATAAATAAATAAAATAGATATTTTAAAAAATAAAGTACCACCATTAGGTTATTGGATTATAAAATAGCTTGAATAATTTTTTCATGATAGTGAGGAAGAAACTGTTATTTTCATATAATCCCTATATATGGGGAAAATGACCCATTGTATCCCCAACAATTGGCAATGAGAGAAGGGAAAAGAGCTAGCAAAAAGAAATTCTCTGCCTGTGGTCAGAAATCTAAACAGATTGAATTCTGTAATTTGGTGTCTAGGTTGAAAAAATATAAAACCTCTTAGCTTACCAGCCATGGGAGCCTGTAAAAATATAAGCTAACAAGTGATATTCATACACAATGTGATTCCAGGTTTGTCTTAAACTAAACTTTATTGAGACAAGATTTTGGTCCACGCCTACTAATGACATGGAATTGTCTCATAACAAGTATATGAGTATAAACTGTTTATTATTTGCCTTTTTATATTTGTTTCATCTTTTGTGCCTTCTTTTGAGTGAAATTTTTAAATTATAACAATTCTTACACATTTATTCTTTTAGTAGTATTTCAGTTATTTTCTGAGGTGTACAAATAGCCCCCAAATTTATTACTTTATACAACTCTCATTTGCTCATGTTTCCAGGCTCTCTGTTTCAGGAATTCAGTTCAGGGCATAGTGTATGTGGTTTATCTCTGGTCTACGATGTTATGCCTTTATTGGAGTGGCTCAGATTAGGGATTCATGCCCTATCACAGTTAGGGCATGATGTCTTGGGTCTCTTAGAACTGTTGTCTGACTCCCTGGTTTTTCTCTGCATGGATTTTCTATGCAGTTGAAGTGGGCATCCTGATAGCATGGTAAACTTAGGGTTCCAAGAAGGAGCATTCTAGAGAGGAAAAGCCTCAGCCTTTGCTTGCCTCTTGCTTACTAATGTGTCAGTTGGCAGCAGGTCACATGAATAAGTGTAGAGTTATATATGAGGGTACTATGTCAGGCCATGAATATTGAAAAGTGTAGTTCTTTGGGGGGGGAGTCATTTAGATTAAGGGCAGATCATCTTAACCCAATCATAGTAAATAGTTAAAAGTTATTTTTGGAATTCCAGTTGAAAATCATTCCTCCTCCAGCCCTAAAAGCTAATTTTTCACCCTCCTCACCCCACCTACTCCCCTTGAGGCAGTTGAACAGTAGTTCTCAACCTCCCCACTAGTTCTTTTAGAATGTCAATAACCTCAAAGGAAAAAGTGATGGGCTCACCTCTCTTGTATCTAAGTGCATCAAAATGCCAGAAAAGTTATCTGCCACAATATCCACTTCAGATATGACCCATAGAAGATCATGAAATAGGAAGATCGTCCTACAAACAGAATCAGGAACTGAAAAATTAACTGACAAGGGAGATAGTGGAATAGGAAGTCCCTCCTAGGGAACACAACCGCACACCGGGAACTTACAGATTAACTGACAAGGACATGTATTCTTTGTCAAGACTTGAGATGTCCTTTGGAAAAATGACCACTGTGTGTTTCCCATTTTCTCCTCTTTTGAATGAGATTTTACTAATATCCTATGCCTTGCCCATCCACCATTTCTTATTAGAAGAAGTGAGACATAACATTTCTTTAGAACTTCATTGTCAGTGGGGCCACCCTAGTGGTGCGGGGTTTAAAGTGCAGCATTATGAAGCTATCTGCAGCCACTGCAACACGAGTTTGATCCTGGCCAGGAGGGTGACCCACATGGTGCAGCAAACCTTGCCTGTCTTGGTCACTGCTCCCCTCAGCTGTGTATTTCAATAGATCTGCATGTTCTGCTCCCCACTCTGGTGAATCCTCTCACCCCCCTGCACCTCTGACCTGTATCCAAGTTCTTGTATGCATAAATAAATAAATCTTAAAAAAACAAAAAGGAAAGAAATTTATTGTCGGAGAATGCAGATAGACTCTTGATGAGAAGGACTCCATATCTTTGGAACTTCTGGATCCTGACCTCTGAGCTTTATTGCAGTAACTGGAGGAGACTTTGGGATTGTTACTCTTAAGGGAGGGATGCTTGCATTCATTTTATGAGAGAGTAGAAAGGACAGAATGGGACAGACTATTGCTCTCCTTCTTCCTTATTAGAAAGAGTCTGATACAGTTTTTTTTCTTGAGAAGAGAGCCTGGTAATGGCCTAGCCAAAACACTTATTTTCTTACATCACATAGAATCATGGGTGGCCTTGGGAATAGTTCTAGATTTATGGTGAAGAATTTTCAAAAGTGTTTCTTATGCTATTTAAAAGCCTTTTTCTGTTTGCTTCTAACACTAACACAAAATGGAAATGGATTAATGATAAAATAAAGATGAACATAAAAAATGTGAAGACAGAACCCATAAGCTGAGGATGCTGGAGCAGAACGACAGGAAACTGGGTCTTTCATGATAAGAAACTGGGTCATTTTGAAGCAACTCACCACTCCTGTACTAACTGTTATGGCTGAAGAAAACAAGTCCGA